AGAATCTACCAGACGTGGCTTATGAGACATCATCCTAGGATCATTTTAAACCTTGAGCTCTGATACCAAGTTTGTGACGACTCAGGGGTACCGCCTAGATGTAACATGGCGTATAGAACCCCGAAGGACTCCATAAAAGACACTTAATTCTCATAACATAAGCAATATAATAATAAGAGTGAATACCACAATTCAAGTCTAAAAATTTTCATAAAGGAAAGTGGAATTCTAGACAGTTAGTCTCAATATAGCCATCTATTACAATCTTTTAAATGAAATAGGTCTTAGCCCATACAACATGTCCGAAAAAAGAAAGTACATGAAAGGAACTACAACATAACAAAAAGCCGTCCTCAAACCATGAGGACTCACCAACAAGATTGAAAGATACTAAAGTCCAAGTTATAGCTACTAGAATGATCACCTCGAGAACCAGACCCTACACTTGGGGAAAATATAGGAAAAGTAGGCATTAGTACAAAAATGCTCTAAGTATGATATCCATGCATAAAAACATTGAAGACATGGATAAAGGGACATTACATTTGAAATCATGCAATTTACCAAGTTCATAACACCATCTTTAATGCAAGCTAGCAACATGTTTAATGCTTTTGAACACTTACTTGATACTTCTTCAAGAATTCCTTAGTTCATTATTAAACTTCTTCTTTATGTGGGAAATAAGCCTTAACCGACATGAGACCATGTGAGCTTTAACATGGAATACAGTGGCTCCCACACAGAAAAGGTTTGGTCTACTTGCCTAAGGTAGAACCGATAACTCTTAGCTTAGGTGGATCCATTAGCTAATATCCTATGAGGGCACGTAGTTTATGGGATAAGCATATTGTTGTTAGAAGCCCGACCTATCTATTGGAAAGCTTCCATCTCAGGAGGTTGATTCTAGAAACCGACCCTACTAGGGAGAGCTTCCACCTCACACAATATCCACTCGGTACTAGGCCTTAAATTTTCACGAATTAGTTAATTCTCTATTAACATCATTACTCATGAAAGGGTGAACTTGACCTACTAATTCAAGGTACAACATTAGAATATCTCTTTTTAGTTACACATGAAAGGGTGCACATGGCCTACCGATTCAAGGTACATCATTATGTGAGAAAACCTTTCACATCATGTTCATTATGAGTTCATGATAATAACCTTTCAATAAGCCCACAACAATAATATCATCATTAACACTTCACTCTCAAAGTGTACTGATAGCATTTACATAGATTTCATTAAAACATGCATAATCTCATAATTTACCTCATTGAGGCTCACAACTCACTTTCAATCAACACATATAGAATCTAAGCATTAGAGATGGAGATAATTATAATTCAAATAACCCAATCAATACATGCATAATTTCATAACATTCTTCTTGTATCAACAAAGACCCACATCACAAATTGCAATTGAGTAATATGGGGATTTCATGGGTTCTTGGGGATTCATCATAAAACCCATTGTAAATTATCAATTCATACATAATATAACAAAATTGAAGCATTAGAATAGTTTTTGAAAGGAACCCATGAATTTGGAGTCAAACCCTAACTTTTGGGGATTTCTCTCTTTGAAATTGGGGGTTTAAAGGGACTCCATGGATGAATTATATCCATAGATTAAGAGCTACCATACCTTGATCACAAAGCCCTATGAATTTGGTGTGAAAACCTTGCTTCTTGAACCGTAGTTCCAACTTCCTTCTTCTTCTTCTTTTTCTTTGAGTTTTCCAGAGAGAGAATTTTTGAGAGAATTAATATTTGGGAATTGATTTGGGTTTTGGAAATAATGAGTTGAATTGGGCAATTTTTGACTTAAAATTACTTATATAGCGACCCTAGACTTACACAAAATGATTTCACTTTGTTTGGACTTGAACCGAAATTACTCAAAACACCCTCACTTTAACTGAGCTGCCAGGTTTTATGTGGGGACCCACGAGCCATGGTCCCCTTCGTGGGCTTGAGGCAGTGGCTAGGCAATAAGTTCCTGTAGCCCACAAGCCCAAGAAATCATCACGAGGGATTACACGAGTCGTGGTCCCTCTCTTGGGCTTTGAGGCAGTGGCTAAGCCACCCTCCTTCAACCCTCAACCACCAAGGCATGACCAAGGCCACTCCCACGAGCCGTCCAAGGCTTCTCGAGCCGTGAAGTGGCTCTTGTGGATGAGCCAATTTGGTGAAGCCTTAAGGAGGCTATTGCCTCACCACCACAAGTGGCACCACGAGGCGTGGTGACCACCATGAGCTGTGAAGGATCTTGTGGCTTGGTGGGCAATGCCTTGGGAACTTTTGGCAGCCTTGGTCCCTTTCCCTTAGCTCTTTCCATCATGCCCTTTTCCCTAGGCCGCCTTCATGACTCTAACTCTCACGTTTAGCTCTAGTTTAGCCTACTAATATCTGGGGTGTTATACTTTTTTTTTGACACTGTCTTGTTTCTGTAGTCCACTTTTGGTAGTTCTAGTCATTTTGTTAGTAGCTCTGTATATATATGACTACTAGGTTCTGGGAGGGATCTCTTATTTGTATATATATTTTATCTTACTTCCGATTCTTCATCTATGATTACTGTAATTTATTTTATTATTTTAGTTTGAGTTTAGTTTTCTGGCCTCAATCCTATTACTGGTAGTTTTGGGATACGGGTTGGCTTGCCTACAGGTGGGTTAAAGTAGGCGCCATCATAACTCGAGGAATCGGGTCGTGACAAGTTGGTATCATATCCCCAGGTTCACCAATCTCACTTATACAGAACTTATGTCTAGTAGAGTCCTGTGGATTAGCGTAGAGATATACTTGACTTATCTTCGGGAGGTTACTGAATGTCGTTAGGAAGATTTTCTGGTTTATATCATTTTTATGAATCGTATGTCTAATTGGTTTCATGGGATATCACTTGTTTTACTATTTCACAAGATGGCTTATACCCATGGTAGAGCGGCCAGGGTTGATGCACTAGGGCCCACAGGATCAACGATTGGTTGCTTTAGGTTGTCTAGCCTATTTGGCCTATATGTGAGATTTTAGTGGGGAGAGCCTTTTAGTTTAGTTAGTTCCAGTGATTAGGGAGTTTGCAAATGTATTTTCCATAGAACTGCATGGCCTCCCTCTAGAGCGTGATATTGATTTTGTCATAGACAAAGTGCCAGGTACCCGTCTATTTCTATTCCATCTTATCAGATGGCACCTCCAGAGCTCAGTGTACAGTTTGAGGACCTCTTAGGTAAGGGGTTTATTTGCCCAAGTGTATCACCTTAGGGTGCCCAATCTTGTTTGTGAAAAAGAAGGACAACTCTGTGCGGATGTGTATTGACTACAGGCAACTGAACAAGGTGGCGGTGAAGAATCGTTATCCTATACCCCATATTGATGACCTATTTGATCATCTTCAAGGTGCCACAATTTTTCTAAGATTGACTTGAGAACCGGTTACCATCAGCTAAGGATTAGGGTAGCGAACATTCCGAAGACCGCATTTAGGACTCATTACAACCACTATCAGTTCCTAGTGATGTCTTTTGGGTTGACTAATGGCCATGCCATCTTCATGGACTTGATGACTCCTGTGATCATGCCTAACCTTGATTCCTTCATCATAGTCTTCATTGATGACATATTGGTATACTCATGGAACTGGAGTGAGAATGAGCAGCATTTGAGAATAGAGCTCCAGACTTTAAGAGATGGGAAGCTTTATGCCAAGTTCTTAAAGTGAGAGTTTTGGCTTGAGAAAGTAGAATTATTGATGCACGTGGTGTCCAAGGAGGGCATTATTGTTGATCTGGCAAAGATTGAGGCTGTCTGTGATAGGGATAGGCCCACTTTTGTTACTGAAGTTTGTAGCTTCATCGGGTTAGCGAGTTACTATAGACACTTTCTTAAGGGCTTCTCCACTATTGCAACACCTTTGAATCGATTGAATCACTATGAAACCCCTTTTGTGTGGTTGGAGAAGTGGGAGTTGAGCTTTCGGAGGCTCAAGGAGTTGCTTACTACCACTCCCATTATATAACCTGGCATAATCCTCTGTTGAATGGGTAGTCTTTACCGGTAAAAAGTGGGCTGATTTGGGCATTCGAACCACAATCACCCAAATAGAATCATGTTGCCTGCAAGACTTGGGCTAACCTGTGATGAAATCCATATTGATCATCTCCCACTTCCATTCTGGAAGTTCTATATTCTGAGCCGTACCACCGGGCCTTTGGTGCTCTAGTTAAATTGTTGGCGATTCGGACACTTAGCAACAAACTCTGCAATGCTCTTCACTACAAGAAAAATGACCTTTAGCGAAAGGAAATACCGTCGCTATAAGTCCAAATCCGATCATTAAAGGTCTATAACGACTGGTCAAAAATTGGTCATCACCGGTCGTTAAAAGCTCCATCGTTAAAGGTTAACGACTGGATTGCATGTCCGGTCGTTAAATATTATTTAACGACACCAATTAATCCGGTCGTTACACGTGCTTACAACGACCAAATTCCCCTTCTTTGATGGTCATTTAGTCGTTAGAACCTTCAAGTAAAACAACAAATTAGGGGCGTTATAACTAATTTTAGCAGCCAGAATTCCTGTCGTTGATTACAATACTTTTTAACAATCAAATTTCCTGTCACAAATTTTGATTTAAATTATTACATTTAATTTTTAGTTGTTATCTTTTCCATCATTTCTAAAAAGAACTAATATGATCAGTTCATATAAATTCTTTTCACATCCAATTGAAAATTTGATATAAAATTATATTGTTAATAATAAATTAAAGAACACATGGATTTAATTACTAAAAACTTATATGTTCGACACAATATCTAAAAAAAAAAGCATACACGTTCAACATAATAAAACATGTGTTCGACATCTATAAAATCCTAGAAATTAAGAAAATGACATTAAGAATAACTACATAAAACGTCTTTGCACCTACAATAAAAATATAATATTCTTTGTTGCACGCTCCACATTATCTTTCACATGATCTTGTTCTTTAATCTTCAAAATCTTCATCTATCAAAACAACAATTTGAACTAAATTAATTAGTAACGGAAAAAAGTTTGAACTTAAGGATTAATTCTCTTGAATAGTTCCTGATCTATTTTCTTATGTATACAACTAGAAACATATTTACAGTTCTAGTTCATGAATTCTAGATAATTTCTCTACCCAACCTTCTACATTGAGGATCTCCACTGGCAGCCAACAAGAGTTGTATTACTTTCACATTAACATCTCATACAGAGGGTGGTTGGTGCTTCCTCATTTAAATATTTATTCAAGTGAATGCTTCCTCATACCCCACCTCTTTCACAAAACCTGGGCCACTTTCCAAATTAATGGAAGGAATGAGAGAGATTAAAATGGACAAACATGAACACAACACACATTAAAGTGCTTCAACAAAGAGAATGTAAATATACATCAAATAAAGAAGACCAGAAATCCTAATCCTAGTACTAGTACTGAAAGTTGAAGGAAAGAAAAAATAGATAAGTTGTTTAAATGGAGAATGCAAGTGGATCAGATGAAACAAGCTTGCAGCTGGATGACAAGTAGGAAGTTAGAAAAACTTAAACAACTAATTACCACAGTGGAGAATGACACAAACATGATCAAATATATTTAAAGTTGCAGGGCAACAGAGAAAGGGTAATGTAGATAAGTGTGTGATGTTTGAGATTAACTACTAATACTACAATAATAAAGGGCAAATTATATTGACAATGATATTATAGAGGACAAAGTCATACAAGGACCTAATCAGAGGAGAGATCTTGATTTTCTACCAACAACATATACAAAACAATAACCATACTGATACCTACTTTTACATTTGAAGATGTTATAACAATCTCATTGGTATATATAGAAATGAACATAAAATCAATCTTTTAGCTTTGTGGATATTATAACTAAAGTGATATTGATTTTAGTTATATATAGAAAGGCTAGAGTGAGAATGCCAGAATATACAGAATGTTCAAGATAACGCAATGCACTAAAGGGAAACAGGTAACTCATAGCACAACTGCAATAACAAAACCCTTCCTTATCAATGAGAAGCAACATCACTTCATTCACACACAATACATATCATGTAATAATAACTAATAGTATGTTTACTAACCTGATGGAATTGATGGAACTGATGAAGACTGATGGATCACTATATTTTCAAGGTGTTCATATTTACTCTCTAGAATATCCATGCGTTTTTGTAGTGATTCCTTTTCTTTTCGAGTTGTTTTCAGCTCTTCCCACAATGCAGCCTTTGAGGTGGTACCGCCTTTTAACTCCTTAGTTGTTATTCCACCACCAAATCCAACTACGTGACTTTTGCATTGAGGTCCAAAGCACCTTTCCACTACCTCAATATTAGTAAGAGATGGTTCAGATTGTACAAGCTCATGAATTTCAGCCTATAAAACATAAGAATATTTAAAATAATGCAATGCACTAAGTAAGAGTAAGGATGTTAAATGAAATTAAAATTGTTATAAACATACATATTTTTCAACGGTTTCAAGTTCGACAAGCTCATTTCCCTTCTTACGTGTCTCAAAGAAAATAGTTTCCATGTTTGGTGGATTACCATCTTTGCCTCCCTTCACGATTAAAAAATAAGATGTTTTATAGAAATAGGAGAGGTTTCTTTATAGGGTTGCACAATTTATTTACCATTTCGTAAACAATCTCTCTAATAGGCCTGCTACCCGTACGATGAGGCATACACAACTTAGACCTATTGACTGAGTTTCTTGTACTAGCGTCCTGCATTAACAACACAACAACTGAAATTATCACATCCTGTTTAATGATTCTATATTTAATGTGTACTTTTAAGCTCAGTGGGAAGAGGGTAAAAGAGAACAGAAGCACAAAAAACACCATTGCAATTTTCTTTGGTAGATCTTGTGGATAGAAGACATCAAATATTTTAATCGAAATCAAGACTCAATTTGTACATGGTATAAATTATTCCAAAAAACTAATCATATGTGACTAGAAATAAAATGATATTTGTGAATAACTATATGAAGTCTTACCTTAAATTTCTGAGATAAAAAATGTTCCTTGACCAACCATTCCCAATCACTTTTGTCTACTCCCATTGGCACATCTTTAAGAACCTCGTGCAATGATTTAGATTTCACATTCTTGTGCAATGATCCTCTCCAGTTATTCCAAAGCTTTCTCATATGTTGCAAAACATTATCTCTTTGATCATTCATGTCATCACTGTCAAACTTCTCCTAAAATAGAAAAAATACCATCAAAATCTCTTGAATAAGGGAAAACAAGGCATCGAAGTATAGATCACCTAATAGGTAGTAACCTAGAAATTTGAAAAACATAAATCAAAATTTCAAATAAATAACAACCACAAGTTGTCTGTTTAAAACCTATAGCTTACTCACTTCACTATTGTATAGTGTTTGAAATAGCGTTAAGAGTAAAGTAGTGACACAAGCGAGTTGCCTGAAATAAGTAAATGCTACCATAATTTTAACTACCCCTAAGGTCTCAACATTGGCCAATGTTAGTCAATATAGACCTACTTCATACTATAATATGATCTAGAAGTGTATATCCAATGTGTATTCAACTAGCAAATAGAGATTTATGGAGATACAGTGAGAAAGAATAAGATTTGCATTGATCAACCTTATTTAAAAGACCCCACTCATCTATTTATGTCATGTCAATGGAAAAAAGAGTTGTGGAAGAAAGTTACAGGTGGCTGGGTATCAGTAGCTCAGGCAAAGTCAAGGAAAGTCTATAATGGATCAACCAATGACACTGGACCAAGATAAAGAAGTAGATTGTGGCAGGGCAGTTATGGAATTGTGATTTACTCCATATTACATAACAAAAATTAAAGATTCATTAAAGACAGAAGTACAACATATACAATTTATTACCAAAGAAAGATTATCAATAGTGAAAACCGCCAAGAAGGCTAAGAAATGTATATACTTAGTAGAGGCTTTTGATGAATAGGTGTATCCTCCATCAAACATTTAGGTCCTAAAGTAACAGTTAGTGTCAGCTCAATACTTAACGAAGTACATATCAATACACTGCTATGACTGAGAAAATTTTAAATTTTGTTAAGATGAAGGTTACACATTGAAATTATAACATAAAATTGAAAAACAATAATTGATAGTTTTTACCAACTGCAGAATCATATTAACTATAGCCACACTAAACTAATAATATTAACATCCAAAGAAATTACAGTGGAAGAATAAAGTTAACTTTTCAAAAGCCTCTTATTAGCAGGTAGTGGCAAGAGATTTAACTATCAAATAGGCTAACGAGAAAAGACGAAATGTGAGAATTTTTATCTATCCATTGAAACTGAGTAACTATACTTTGTTATTAAAGGAGAAGGAATGAGAAATCAAGAGTCATGTTTCAAACTAAAACATCCAATACCTTTTGAAAAGGGATTCTTGACAGTTATCAGTAAAAAGAAGAGATAGATGTGTTGTAATCCTTATAGTAACAACTGCCCACATGTGCTCAAGCTTATGCTCTTCAATGTCCATCCATGAGTGTACCCGGAGTGGACACATATTACGATCACGAACTATCAAGTCCCAAGTGTCTCGTAAATGAGGTGTGATTCTGCCCGACGACTCGATTTTGATAGAAAGTGACTTTTAATTTTTCTCCAGGTCTCAATCGCAAAACATTCTTACAAATATTTGTTCCCCTCACATTCTTTGCCCTTTCTGTTTCACATGGACCTGCAAAATCTATAGTAAGGAAAACCAAACAAGAAGTTCAATCCCACTGTAGCACAAAGTGAAGAATGAGACAACTGGAACATACTTGAATCTAAATGACTGGGATACGGAGAGTTCTATAGAATTTGTTGGTCTCCTAACTTCTTTTAAAGATCTTATTAACAGTGAGGATAGCTTGAAATGGAAGGGGAAACAATTTGGTCTTTTCACAGTGAAGTCTTGTTACTCTTAGATTCTCAGGGCCTATGGAAGCGAGGCAAGATAATGTTTTAGCTGCTTTATAGGTAACAATGCAGAAACAATTAGAAAATACGTAGAAGACAATACATACTAGTTTCAATTCCCTCAGCATCTTGTACCACTTCAACCACTTTTTTTGCTTTTCTAGATTCAAACAAATCTGCAAAACTAACTGTAAGTCAAAATGCCCAAGAAATCAATTCAGCTTACTAAAAAAAGTTACACAAATAAAATAAAATAGTAGTATCACTTCTTTTATCTTGCTGAGACACTTCAGTCACTTTTTTAGCCTTGTCAAATTCAAACAGACCTGTAAATTTTGATGCAAGTCAATTGAAATAAGAAGTTCATTCCCATTACTAACAAGAAGGATACAAAGGAAATTAAATAAAGCAAATAAAAGCAGTGGTGTAGGTGAAATAGCCCATAATAATAGTGACATAATCTCAAAGGAAAAATGCACAACATAGAATCACAAGGAAGTAGTAGTCAATGAAAAAAAGAATAAATTGAATAACACTCAGGATAATAATGCTGACAATAGTCGCAACAAAAAACTGGTATAATTCAAACAAGCTTCTAACTTAGCAGAGATGTTCCTACTACAGAGAAGTCAGGCAAACTGGATCAGTCTTGGAGATGCAAACACAAGGTATTTTTACTGAGTTATTAAACAGAGAATTGAAGCAAGCTATTGAAAAACAACTAGAAATATTGAAACTTCTTAATGCAAAGGATGTTAGGAAAGTTGTGTGTAGTATTGATATGAAAAGCAGTCCTAGTCCTGATGACTATGGTAGTGATTTCTACAAAGAAGCTTAGGATATCATGGGAAAGATGTTGCTAAAGAACTGTTGGATTTCTTCCGGAATGGTCAGTTACTAAGACGGATAAATGTTATTAATATTGCCCTTATCTCGAATGTCCTTGTTCCTGAAAATGCTAGTCAGTGCAGACCTATTTCGTGTTGTATTGTGATATATAAAGTCAAACTGATTTGTCAAAAACTAAAATATGTGTAAGTTACTTGGTAGCAGAGAATCAATCAACTTTTGTTCAAGGGAGATCTATGGTCCACAATGTCTTAATATATCATGACTTATGAAGGCATTACAATAGGAAAACCAATCTCAGATGTTTGATGAAGATTGATCTCCAAAAAGCATATGACATGCTGAGTTAGAAATTTTCGAGGAAGCTTTACTTGGTTATGGGTTTCCAGATGGCTTTGTGAAGTTGATTATGATATGTAACACCTCCCATGTATTCTGTTATGGTGAATGGGGTAGAAAATGGTTATTCGAGGAAAAACGAGGAATACGACAAGGGGACCCCATGTCTCCCCTGCTATTTATATTGGTTATGGAGTCTTTAACTACGGTCTTGAAGATTATGAGGGGCTTACCAAACTTCAGATTTCATCCAATGTGTAAAAAAGTTAAGCTTACAATATGTTTATTGTAGGAACACTGCTTATGGAACTATCATATGCTAACATATCTATTGCAGATGGAAGCAAGGCAAGATAATATTTTGACTGCTTTACAAGTAACAACATGAAAATATTACATAAAAGAAAATACATACTAGTTTCAGTTTCCTTAGCACCTTGAGCCACTTCAAACACTTTTTTTTGCTTTTCTAGATTCAACGGACCTGCAAATTTAAGTGCAAGTTATAAAAACTAACAATTCAATTCAACTAACAAAAAAAAGTTGCACAAATAAAATAACATAGTAGTATCACTTTTTTGAGCAGATCGAGGCACTCCAATTACTTTTTTTGACTTATCAAATTCAAATGCACCTGCAAATTTTGATGAAAGTCAACCAAAATAAGAAGTTCATGCCCATTATTAATAACAGAAAGAATACAAAAAAGATTAGGTAAAGAAAGCTAAGCAAAATTTCTTGATCAAATATATTAACTGGACTAACTCTTTTTCAAATTATCACTTCTTTGAGCATCTCGAGTAACTTTTGATTCTTGAAATAGGGTGTCATCGTGTTCCATTGGATAAAAATTATGAGGCACAGGGATACTAGTCTTTGCTGACTTATTTCCACTAGAAGTTGTTGTATTACTTCTATTTTTGTCAATCAGAGTCGATTTTTCAACATTAATCCCTAAGGTTTGTCCTCGAGCCGTTGCACCACTAGTCAAAGTGTATTGATTCATTTCAGTTCCTTGATGGAAGGGAGCATTGTCTTCCTTTTCATCAAAACAAGGATGCACATGGAAACTATTGTCTGCTAGCTTATTCAACTTAGAAGTTGTGGCATTGTAACTTCTATTTTTGGAAATCGAAGTCCTTTGTTCAGCATTAACTCTTGTAGTGCTCATAACTTTCAAACTTTGACCTAGTCCCTTTGCTAAGGCACCAGGCTGAATGAGTCCATGCTTGGGAATTTTTGAAGCTTGTCCCATTTCATTCTTCAGAGTTTTTGAGGGATTCATGTCAACCTAATACAAATAATAATAATAATAATCAAAAGATCAAATAGGTAAGGAAGTTTTTCATAAGATGAAATATCAACTGAAAACGCATTCAGAAAAAGACACATGTACATGTAACACAGGTTCCTCGCATAAACCATTAAAACTTTAGTAAAAACAAGGTAACATTAAAGACCAAGATTATTAAACGAATTTTCACAGAAAATACTATAAGAATCAATACCATAATAAATTAATAAAGTAAAATCAAGCATGATAAAGCTGCAAACCTTAATGAGTTCTTTTTCTTTTCATTTGTGTAGAGTTATGTAACTCTTCTAAGTCATCATCCTTTTTTTCCAATATATCAAAAGAATCACGAGGTTGAACATTTTGCACTATATGCCAACCTTTATTCGAATGATCAATAACATAAAATACTTGTGATGCTTGGCTGGCTAATACAAATGGCTCATTTATTTTCAAACATCGCCGACGATTAACACTTACAAAGCCATATTCATCCATTTTAACTCCCTTCTTCTGATCATACACATCGAACCATGTACATCGGAATAAAATCACTCTTCTCTCCCCAACAAATTGTAATTCAAGAACCTCGATTAACTCGCCATAGTAATTCATAGGTTTTTGCTCTTCACCGGTCTCACCTACTACAATTACCTCACAATTCTGAGTTTTCAAATATTTATCATACTCTTGCATGTGAAACCTATATCCATTAACAATATGACCTTTCAATCTTGTCACATATGGTAGAGGACCACGTGATAACGATAGCAAATCTGCCATTCTCTTACTATCATCATGTTTGTACAACTCTGCAACCTAACAACATCAAATACCCTTTTAGAAAACAATATTTACATACTTGATTTAAGAAAATGAATTAATTTCTACTCACCCTCTTTTGTAACCAACTAATGAATTGTCTATTCCACTCCACATCTGAACTTTGTTGAGAGGCCTCACTATGAATTTGTGAAAATTCTCTACAATGAATTGAAGTTCTACATGTTATTTTAAGTTGAAATATGGACAAGATAGAAGTAAATTATTAGATTTAATCAATACTTACTCGAGAAATGGTTGAATTTCATCACAGTTCTTCAAAATATAAAAATGTGCCTCCTCCAAATCATGTGAATCAAGTTTGTCTGGTGAACTACCCTTTAAACTCTTTCTAGGCTCACAAAATATGGTTAAACCACCATCAGATTCAATTACCCCACCATTATAATTTCTCTCTGGACAATTAAATTTTGTCTTTATTGTATTCAAATACCTTGAACATAATGTCATACATTCAACTGCTAAATATTCCTCTACAATAGAACCTTCAGGGTGAGCCATATTACCAATAAAACACTTCAAAAAGTGTAGGTATCTCTCTATTGGATACATCCATCGATATTGAACTGGTCCAGCAATCCTAGCTTCATTAGGTAAATGAATAGGCAAGTGCACCATGACATCAAAAAAAGCAGTAGGGAACACCTTTTCTAACTTGCATAGTGTTTTTGGTATTTGGGCTTCTATTTGTTCCAACTCCTCTATGCTCAAACATTTTGCTCCAGGAACTTTGAAAAAAATAGACAACTCAATAAGTTGTTCAAACACAGATTTGCAAAGCATACCACGCATGACAAGTGGGAGTAAATGTTGTAGAATTATATGACAATCATGGCTTTTTAATCCCGAAATTTTTTTATCCTTAAGGTTGACACAATGAGAAATATTTGAGGAAAATCCATCTGGGACCTTTAAATTCTTCAAAAAATTGAAAATTGTTTGCTTCTCTTCAACAGATAATGTGTAAGATGTTGCCGGCAACTCATATTCATCTCCATTTTGTATTGGATGGAATTCTTTCCGTATATTCATTTCTTGTAAATCCAACCGAGTACTCAATATGTCTTTTGTTTTCCCTTTGATATCGAAAATTGTCCCCAAAATATTGTCACATATATTCTTCTCAATGTGCATCACATCAAGATTATGTCGCAACAATAAGGTTTTCCAATATGGAAGATCAAAGAATATACTCTTCTTATTCCAGTTATCACCCCTTTTCTTATGTGATATTTTAATTTTTTTCCGTGGATCCTTTGTTAATGGCAACCCATCTAAATCAGCAACTTGATCAAGTATATCATCACCAGACAACATTTCTAGTGGTAGCCTATGCTCAACAGTGTTATCAAATGACACTTTATCATTTCTCCATTTGTGATTAAGAGGAAGATAGCGCCTGTGGCCCATATAACACTCTTTTTGGCCATTTTTTAGCCTTGTAGAGCAAGTTTTTTTATTGCAACATGGGCAAGCAAGTTTTCCTTTTGTACTTCCATCCAGACAAATTGGCATATGCTAGAAAGTCATTAATGGTCCACAACAAAGATGCATGTAACTTAAAATTATTTCTAGTTGATGCATCGAATGTCTCTACTCCAGTTTCCCATAATTCATTCTACTCCTCTATTAAAGGTTGTAGATAGACATCAATTGCATCACTAGGACCATTAGGACCAGGTATAAGCATTGACAAAATAAAATTCTCTTGCTTCATGCAAAGCCAAGGGGGCAAATTATAAGGAACAAGTACTACATGCCAAATGCTGTAGGGAGTTCTCGACATTCCAATTGGTTGGAAACCATCACTAGCAAGTCCAAGTCGTACATTACGAGCTTTAGCTGCAAAAGATGGGTGGAGTTCATCAAATTTTTTCCATGCCATTGAATCAACTAGATGCCTCATTATTCCATCATCAACTTTTTTGTCATGATGCCATGACATCAATGGAGATGTCTTTGAGCACATAAATAATCTTTGAAGTCTTGGCTTTAGAGGAAAATAACATAACATCTTGCATGGTATCTTTTTTCCTTTTTTCAATTTTGTTTCCCCACTATGTTTAGCATCCTTCCATCTAGATGCACCACAAACTTTGCACGATTGAAGACAATTATCATCCTTCCAATACAACATGCAATCATTCTTACATGCATCAATCTTCTTACAAGAAAGCCCAAGATCTCGAATTACCTTCTTTGCCTCATAATATGAATCCGATAAGTTTGTTCCATCAAGCAATAAATCATCTTTCAAAAACTTTAATAGCATCGTAAATGACTCATTACTCCAATGACCAATACTTTTAAGGTGAAGCAATATAATCAAAGTAGAAAGTTTAGAAACTTTTGCACTTTCATATAATGGTAGATCAAGATCTTTCAATAACCTATAAAATCTTTTTGCTTCAGCATTTGGTTCCTCCTCCCGAAGATCATCACCAGTACTATTATTCATATTATCTCCATCAAAATCGGGGTACAAATCTCTTAGCAACCCATGTATTTCATCCTCACCGTCATCCTCTTCAATGTCATTATCATCTATAAATTCAAAATTTGATTGTGCTTCACCTAACATCTCCCCATGGTGATACCAAAAAGTATAACTTGGTATTATCCCATGTACTATTAAATGTGACCTAACTACAACACGTGTTCTAGAAGTTGCATTACCACATTTAATACATGGACAACGGATCGACATTGGTTCTCCTAATTTTGTAAAGGCATAATCCAAGAAATTCTCTACCCCATCTATATAGGCATTAGCAAGTCTATCGGTAATAAGTTCCATCCATTGCTTATTAGGTGCCATAATTTTCATGCATGTAAAATAGATATAACAATACGTTAGAATAACAACCAGGTACTCAAAAGATGGTAAAAAAAAAGGTTACACAAATTTGAATAGTCAAATTACATGACAAAAATCTAGCAATTCAAGAAAATTCAACATATAAATAGTAAAAGACCAAATATTTCAAAATAATAACTTTTGAATATACATTCTAAACATCAATAATATGTTTAGTTATTTATAAAAATCTTGTGTAAATGATTTTATTTCCCCAATAGACATCATTAGCTTCCTCCTATTAGTTAAACAACTTTGAGTTTTAGCTATAAGTTTTAACTCCAAGATCTCAATTATTTTTTGGCAATCCTGAAGTTATCAACTATTTTCTTTGTGGCTATCTTGCATCTCCATGATAACTATTAATACAACCTCTTACTTCTTAAAAAACGTTAGGAACTATAATGTAAATCTAATTATGGTTACTCTTTTTCTTGAATGTATGGCAGAACAAACTTTGCAGATGATTTTAAAGCAAATGAGGGAATCAAATGGTGATTACATGAGAAATATACCAAGATTTGCTTGCAACTAAACTCCAAAACAGTGACCAAGATATTGACAACATATGTTATTTATGTAAAATTAAAGCTCAAAAATTCACTGTTCATTTGAAATTCTTGAAAAGTTGGAAAACTCATCAAGATGATCTGGTCTACAGTCTCTACATTTATGATTAGGAACTAAATATACAAAGTAGGTTCACAACAAATTTATAAAATTACAAACAAGGTTAGTTAAGTCCTATAATCTGATCCCATTATATTTATAAAAGAGTATGTAAAGACTAAAGAAAAAAGGTGAAATATTTATACTTTTCTGTTTGTAGCATTTAAATTTTCTCACAGTTTTGCAATTTTTTAATACATGTATTGAACACATTAAAGTTTGGACAGTGGTAGTTACCATTACTCAAAAATCGATGGAACACACTAAAAGATCGCAACCACCAGTACCTCTTAAGAAATGGCCGATAAGACCAGATTAAATAACATAGCAAAAGAAATGACCAAAAAATTTGGACAAATACATGAAATATTTTCAAAAACATATTAGAAAGAAGAAAGGCTTAGAAAAAAAAACATACCTTACAAAACAAATCAACACAGAGCCTTCAAAAGAGTAGTTTTGCAGTCACTTTCAACAGCAAGAAGCACCACTGATAGATTTAGAATTGAAGTCTACACCAACCGAGAAAGAAATAAGTGTAAATGAGATGCACTTCATAGAAATGAAAATATGAAATGAAACAAAGAGCCTACAAAAAAATCAACCAGCTACATGAAATCAAAGAAATAATTTCAGTATAGTCTTTCCAATGCTATGTGTATTGCCTGATTTAAAAGAATTTATCCAGTTTCTAAGAAAGAAAAAATATAGGAAGCAAAGAAGGATGTATGAACCCTGAATGCAACATATTAATTCTCAACAATAATTAATGTTAATTCTTAACTCCTATTCAATTTGAAAGTATCTACACAAGGAAAAGATCATACAGAAGAACAAGGTCAGATAGAAACAAATTGTGTAGTAATTGACTGCAACATTAACAAATGTGAAGGCATTCGCAAAACAACATGAAGAATCAGGGGAAATAATGCTACTTTTTGGTGTATAACGTGTTGCGAATGAGATCATGGAGATGTGAAAACTTAAATGCCCATTTGTTACCCATAGGAGAAGGTTTATTGGTGACTACTCACTAGAATAACACAGAGAGGCAGTGACTTTGGAGTTTCAGGGGAAAATGAATCATTGAATTGTCAATTGAAGGTGATGTATACTCTAAAAAAGAACATGTATTCACAGTCAGATCTTCACATGAAAAACCTCTTTTAACATAGGTATTGATTTAGTACTATTTGATAGATTGTAGAATATACAATACTTTTCCCACATCTAAGATGATATTAAACAGAGACATGGATTTTTTTAAATCCTAAACATGCTATTCATTTTGAACTGTAAATATATAGAAGAGTTTAATCATGCTAATAGTAGCACATACTGTTAAATTTTTGAAAGTAGACCTAGCCTAAGCCATGGAACCACATGAGCCCTCAAGGTTGGGATTTGATCTTTAGGAGGGCTTTAAATGACTGGGAGGTTGATAGAGTAGCAGGATTATTACACACACTAAATGCATTTCCAGGTGTCACTGAAAGTCCTAATACTCCAATCTGGAAAATGCACAAGAAAGGGATTTTTCTGTGAAGTCTTGTTACTGGAGTTTAAACTCTAATCAGGCTATGGAAATGGAATGGCCTTGGAAACTAATATGGAAAATCAAGGTTCCTCACAAGGTCTCAGGTTTTATTTGGTTGACAATTAGGAAAGCATGTCTAACTCATGAAGTGTTACACAGAAGAGGTATACAATTTGCTAAGGTGTTTCATGTGTGGGGAAGAGGCAGAAGTTAATAGTCACTTATTCTTACACTGCAGAACAGCTGCAAATCTGTGGGACATGTTCGTATGTATACTTAGAGTTAACTGGGTAATGCCCAAAACTACTTAAGAGTTGTTGAGACAGTGGGAGGAGTGGGCAGAAGAAGAAGATCCAAAAGGACTGGTGGAAATGCATCCCAGCCTGCATCTGGTGGACATTGTGGAAGGAAAGAAATGAAAGATCACATGATGGGAAACTTAATAGCACTCAGAAAATCAAGATGAATAGCTTGAGCCTGTTGTATTTTTGGTGTAAACAGGATTTGGTAGGGGAGGCAGATAGCTTAGTGGATTTTAAAGCTCAATTGTAAAGTTTTGCCCAGTTTTTGGCTTTTGAAATTACCCCTGGGGGCTGTAAATCCCACCTCATCAGGCTTTGCTGATGAGTTTTGATGTGAATATAAAGTTACCTTATAAAAAAAAAAGCAGACCCAAAATTAAAGAAGTAGAATACAGGGGAGTGGAGTCAATCCAAGCAGGCCAGAACCATGTATTATAAAAATGTCATCAACTTAACGATAATGCGAGGAAATGTTACACTGTAAGCATTTAATGTAACTTAACAATAATGTAAGAGCCTGAACTAAAGAAATATGTCTTTTCTTTGAATGACTGGACAATACTCAAAGAGCTACCTCTAGTTCAAGAAAAAGGAAAAAGAAAGGAAATATTACAACCTCAACTCCATGTGTACATCAAAATGTTGTTGTGACTCGTTATCAAATCATGAGTTATTTATTGCTTAACCAAGAAATAGCTTTGAGAATGAATCTTATTCCCACGGTGGAAAAATTCAAGATGTATACTTGTACATGTAGATACATATCATAATCATAAAGTAATAAAGCAACACAGATAAAACAAACCCAATAAGACTAAGGCGAAATTTTCAACAGACTTAGATGTGACAAAGCTAATATTTTGTAAGTTATTGTATTAAAGTTACAATAGATTATCAAAAAGATGATATATAGAATTCCTCCTTGCTAAATTTTTTGCAAAGATTGCAGTGTATGTACATAAAAGGTCAGGTCCTCGGCCACTCTCGTTGTTATAAAAAAGTTAGTACTTTGAACTCATATTAGTGCTACAACTACTGTGTTTTGACTAGAACAACAAAAAAAAATAAAGAAAATGGGATTAAGGAAACCTAATCTCCACAATTTACACAAAAAAATGTATCATATTATAAGGTAGAATTACACTTGTGAAGGATAATGAAAATTTTGTCCTGGAAGTTATCAGATTTCAGATTGATAAATTTATTCAATAATTATCACTATTGCGACTTCTTTTCTTATCAATCGAGGCTACTGCAAAAAGCACACACAAACATATGCTGGAAATGACTAGTATACATAATTTAAGATCATGTACAACAAAAACCTACTGAAAATAACTAGATTATTCATAAAGAATAAACATAAAATTGGGCAAAATCAGAATTTTCACCTAACAATTCATAGTCAAAACAAAAGAACATACTTTAAAAAGAAAGGAACTCCAAGAAGATGCGAAATTATTGTCACACACAGCAAAAAACAACAACAATCAGGTGAAATTTAGAGTAAAAAATGAAAGCTGACTTCTGCAATTAGAAAAAAATGGCGTTGATTTCCTTTATAAGAGTTTGAACATATACCTGGAGTTAAAGGTACCAGATTATTCGTGGTCGGTTTTGCTGATTTTTCTCCAACAAATCAGCTCTATGAGTTATCTCCCTTAGGTATCTCACTTTCTAGCGTAACACACAACAAAGAACAACAACAATCAGGTGAAATTTAGAGTCAAAAACGAAAGCTGACTTCTGCAATTAGAAAAAAATGGCGTTGATTTCCTTTATAAGAGTTTGAATAGATACTTGGAGTTAAAGGTAGCAGAATTTTCGTGGTCTGTTTTGCTGATTTTTCTCCAACAAATCAGTTCTATGAGTTATCTCCATTAGGTAATCTCACTTCCTAGCGTATGAGAAGGACGATGTGTTGAGAAATTGCCGCATCTCTTCGAAGTGGTGGAGAAGGTGGCGTGCGTGGTGCAAGTTTGTGAGCGGAAAAATCGAGAAGACTGTTCATCATCTCTCTGAAGCTCGATGTTTTCTCACGGATGGGTGGGGCTAATGGGAGACCTAGTTCTGATGGGTGGGTGGATAGGGTAATAGAGGATAAGTTATTTGTTAAAAATAAATAAATTGTTAAATATAAAAGGGTTAAAATAAAATGGGTTGTTAATTAAAATAAAAGTATGTGTCATTAGTTTATTATTAACGTCTAGGTATTAATTTTCTTAAAGTTCGGATATTGTTCTTTCGTTAATATTATATTAAAATTGCCTTTTAACGACGGAAAAAAAATTGTGACAGAATATATATACCTATAACGACTGGATTTATGTTCTTTCGTTAAAATTTGGTCGTTAAAAATCAATTTTGTTGTAGTGCTTCTTCATACTACTCCACCATTAGACCTCTCTCAAATCGTGATACATCTTTGTGGAACTCGGATGAATGGAATATCT